GGCCGCTTCCCTTCGTCGCTGATTGTTCCATCTAGTTCTTACGTTAACCATTCTGTCAACATAGAAAGATAGACATCAGTACGATTAAACCGAACCATAAAGGAATACAATGAATCCTAAACTTAAGCTCTAAATAATAGAGTACGTTACGCGGAAGTCTTAATACAAAACATCCTAGAGACACTTGAACCTGGGGTGCTCTGATACCAACTGTGAGACCCCTCGAATCTGAGACACGGGTTGATCAGGCCCAGACCCAAACCCGAGGGAATATCAAACAATTAATATATAACGAATATAGATTACAAAATAGATTAATAAGAAATAAATAATAAATGGCTGAAAAGTATTCTAATTGAAAATCCTCAAAATATAATTGTTCAAATCCATTAATCCAAAACCTCCAAATTATTTAACAACTCGGGAATCCATCTAGTGGACCCCTAATAAAAAAATCCCAACTGTAAAATAAAATAATTGTAATCAAAATCCAAAGCTCATAAGGAAGCAGTCCTATGTAGTCGGTGGAATGGAAGTCTGTATCTGCTCTGCATGACCAAGCTCTGACTCTGGAACTGACGAGCACCTGAAAAATAAGAGAGTGGGTTAGGCCCACATGCAAGTCCTGTTCTACTATGATCCAAACAGGAATCTGATACGCAGATACATCCTAGATAGACTCAAAAATTTCTAGAGTAGTCCATATATGTATAAGTACACACTATAGGACACTCACTAGTCCAATAGGTCTGTCTCAGCCTAAGTAGAGATACCATGCAAATCGCATATAATGTGGTCATGTGTACCTAGACCTGTCAGGGAACAGCAACTACTGTCCAGCTATCCATCCTAGGCGATATACACACCCTAACCATGGTCCTGAGACTCAAGCTCATACCATGGTACCATATCATATATATATAAAGTCCGAGTCCTCCTAATACAAAATATCACCTATCCAGTATAGTGGTTTGATATATGTATAACAATCCATCCCAGAAACTAAATTATGTCACTCAGTTATTTACTGACCTGATACCAATAGGAGTTGGACTTAACCTTTATGGTTAATCCATACCTTAATCCATTTTAGGTAGGACTTAGTGTTGAACTAATCCATACTTAGTATGCCACTGTCCCATACCGGTGCATACTATCCTCCAGCTAACATAGTTGATAAAATAGTATAAATATTTATGAACCACGTTCCAAAATAAGCATAAATATAGTTTAACATGTGTATAACTAAATTATGCATCCAATAAATGATTTAGAATCCCAACTTCAGTCCATTAAATTGATAAAGCAAGATTATGCAATTTACCTCCCCAAACAGCACCATAATTGATGCAATACATAACAGATTTAATACACCAGTGAATTCCATCAAAGCATACATATACTTAAAAAACTATATGCTTATAACACAGCTGAAAACATGATTCATAATTTAGGATCATGCAGAGAAATCAAATTGCTAAAACAATAGGGAATATGAGTCAATTATCCATTCATCCACATACGGGTTCTTTGTTTAAACTTATGTTAATTCTAGCCTTTAAATCTAAATGTAAACATGCTTCCCAACATTTTTATAAGTCTTAAGCAATGAATTACACCATCCAGTAGCTTTTGAACAGCTTTAGAAAAACCCAGTTAAGCTAAATAGACCCTAATTAAAAACAAGTTTTAACGCAATTTAAAGGAGAGAGCAGGCTCTTAAACTTGAGAGCCTGCTTTGTTACAATGAGAGCCAGCTTCCCACCCTTGGGAGCCAGTTCTAAGGTATTGAGAGCCGGCTCTCAACCTTAGAGAGCCGTCTCTAGCTTTGTGGGAGCAGGCTCCTTCCCTTTTTGGAGCCTGCTCTCACCCCTAAGAGCCGTAGTCCATTCTTTCTTCGTCTTCTTCAACTCTGGTGATTCCAAGCCTTTGTAGTAATTTTTATTACATGTTTTAAGGTCCATCCCAGTTCTAGATTGATCACAAGACAATAATATACAACCAAGACTTGAATTTAAAACATAAGTTGTTAAGCATCGGCAGCAAGATTACAAGTTGAACTCTTAAAACAATTAAGAACAGATTAATTCTATGGAAACACATAACGATTAAACATGCATAAAATATGTATTTAAGCTTTAGTTTAATCCCTGGAGTCTACCTAAGCATGCATAGAACACAGATTAAAGGGAAAGAGTAGAATAGAGACTTGCCTTGAGTTTCAGTTTTGAAACTCTAATCCATCGTCTCTGAATTTTCCGACGAAATCCCCGACTGAAGTTCCACCTCTGTTGCTCTTGGTTTCACCTACGAACAACCTCTCCTTCCTCCTCTTTAGTCCAACCTTAGTCTAGACCAAAACCTAGCCTTCTTCTCCTATTTCTCCTGTATTGCTCTGTATTTCACCGTCTCTCTGTTTTTCAGAATTATGCTTACTTTTCTAAAACCCTAACCACCGTAATAACTATATTTATAGGCTTAAAACACTAAACCCTAATCCTTGTTTAATTAATGCCAGAGCCCTAATGTGAAATCCTAGTCGGCCCATCCGTGTATTCTAAAGAAAAGAAACCCTAATGTTTATCATTACACTGTTTCTAGTTCAATCCAATTACACCTGTGAGAAATTCCAATAAAATAACAGTGCAACTAACTTCAAATTAAAAACAGAACATTTAATTCATTTAAAAAAAATAAAAAAAAATACCATTAATTCCATTTAATTAAAAAAAATAATATCAAATAATAATTGCACTTAAACCAGTAAACAAACGAAATTAACAATTACCACAATTAAGCAAGTATTAAACAATGAAAACAATTAACCAAGCATTAAATAATTAATCAAGAAATTACGCAAATAATCACACAAAAAATAAAATAAACAATAAATAAAATACCCAGACTATCCTTTTAAAATTAGGGATATTACATAGTGAAAGATAGATGTGATACATGAGTGAACATGAGACGAAAATAGTAGGAAATCCCAAAAGCCTGAGAGTGTCCAGTAAGAAATCCCATGAGATAATATCTAAATCTTTTCTCAGATCAATTTTCATTGTGCTTCTTGGGGAACTACTGAGTCGTGGTATCCATTAAGGAGTTTTTGAGCCATTAGTATGCTATCTTCAATTTGTCTGCTTTGGATGAAGGCTGATTGCGATGGGCAAATGATGGAAGGTAGTATGGGCTTGAGTTTGTTGGCTATTAATTTTGAGATACATTTATAAATGGTAAAGCATTAAGAAATAGGTCTAAACTCATTAAGTGAAGAGGAGTTATAGATTTTAGGAACCAAGGATATATAGGTGTTGTTGACCTTATTTAGTAGTTTTCTAGTGATGAAGAATTCTTTGATAGCTATTATGATGTCCTGCCCAATAATGGGCTAAGCTTTTTTGAAGAAAAGAGCATTGAATCCATTAGGTCCCGGTGTTTTTTCATTGCTCAGTGAAAACATGCATTGGAGAATTTCCTCATTTGAGGGGATTGCCACCAGATCAGGTATGAAATCAAGTTTGATAGTTTAAGTTATAAAGGGAGAGAGAGAGAGAGAGAGAGTTTGTGCCAGGATAGGTGTGGGATTGGATACCAAGTGAAGATTTGAAGTAATTGAGTACCTCATGTTTGTTGAGAACTCATGTATCAATAAGATTTCCATTAGCATCATTGATACTAGTGATCTTGTTCCTGTTATATATCTTGAGGCTATGGTTTTAAAGAAGAAAGTAGTATTTGAATCACCTTCTTTGAGCCATTGTACCCTAGACATCTGTTTGAATTTGAGTTTTTTAGCCACCTTAAGATGCTTGCATGATGAGAAAAGTTCTCTTTTTCTGACTTTAGATAAGGATAATTGGAATGCTATCATGTGCTACCTAATTTGGCAAATATAACCTTCATTTATAAGTCACTAAAATGTTTGGATAACTGTTGTTTAAGAGGATATTGAGGATACTTCAGAGACTTGAGTTTGGTTATGACTTCGAACATTCTGTGACCTCTAACTTGTGAATCCCAAACTGCCTTGACAATAGGTAAGAAACAATCATGTGAATCCAATAGTTGAAGAACCTAAAAGGCATTTTCCTTCTTAGATTGGGTGTTCCCAAAGTGATGATCAGAAATGCCATAGGGAAGGAAATAGCAGTGGAAGAGTGTGAAATTGGCATTCCAGGAATCATTAATGAGCTCCCTATCAAGCTTCCTTGATATGTTTGCCACACCCAAACTACTGTTTGACCAAGAGAAAAATATACCACTAAATTTAAGGTCCTCAAGATTGGCATTATGCAGGCACTCTGAATTCAATCATGGGCTGAGTAGTTCTGTCTGAGACTCCAAAATTTTCATGGGGGGATTTGATAATATTAAAATCACTTGCTAGTATCCATGGTGAAAAAGTAAGGTTGGATAAGAGTATTGAGATATCATTCCAGAGGGCTTTCCTTTCATTAGCCGTATTAGTTCCGAAAACAAATGAAATGAAGAATGAAGTCCTACATCTTAAGATAGTACCAAAGTATGAACCATCTGCCTAGACACATGCATGACCTTGAAATCAATAGATTTATTCCATAGGATCTAAATTCTGCCTAATGGAAAGCACTGATAATTATGGATAATACTCCATGATCTAATACGAAAATTGTGCACCGTATCCACATTGACCAGGTTAACCTTGTTCTCAATAATAGACATTAAATCTATTTTGTTATCCTTTATAGGGCTGCAAGTTGGGCTGGCCCAACCCAGCCCAGCCCCAACCCAACCTTAACCCGAATCGGGTTGGGTTGGCTAGCACGAATTGTACCCAACATGGGTTATGGTCGTAACCCGGATTGAATATTTTCGGGCGGTTGGGTCGGGTTGAGTTTTTTTTTTTATATAATTTTTTTTCTTCAGAAATTTATATATATATATATATTATATTTGATTATATTATTATTAAAAAAAAAAAATTTTATCTGGTATTTATTTTATGTTGGAATTTGGAAGATCGCAGTGACAACTCATAAATTCAAGCTCAACAGACCGGAATGCAGGCTTCTCTCTCTAGAGAAATTTGCATGTCGATAACCCGCTGAATTGAGCGATTTTCTCTATCTATATATTTGTGTGTGTATATATGTATTTGTATATGATATGTTGAATCTTTTCTTAGTATTATTGTATTATTTGTGGGGGTATAAATGATTGCTATGAGGGTAAAGAGCTCCCTCTTCTGAACGCAAGTTGAGGACAGAGACAGAATCGAACCTATAACTTTTTATTGCCACTGCTGAGTAACCCTTTTCCCCAATTTTTGGTTTTATTTATTTATTTTTTTACTTAATTTTTAGTGTTGTAAAAGATCTGTTGGTGTCTTATGTATATATATGTATCTTTAGTCGGAGGTGGGACGGCGGCAGCAGTGGATTAGCGGTTGAGGGTGAGGGACGGCAGTAGAGTCGGAGGTGGGACGGCGGTGGCAGTGGATCGGCGGTTGAGGGCGAGGGGCGGCGACAGAGGGGACAGTGCCAGAGAGAGAAAGAGAGAAGAGAGAGGAGAGAGAAAGGCGAAAAAAAAAAAATTTATTTTTTTATTTTGGGTTTTGTGTTGGATTCGGGTTGAGCCTAGCCCAAACCGAATATGTTTGGATTTTGACAAAACCCAACCCGAATATGTTTGGATTTTGACAAAACCCAACCCGAACATTAACTCGATTTATGAATTTTAAACTCCAATTTCAAATTTTCTCGGTTGGGGTTGGGTTAGGTTGGGCTGGGTTAGTCCGCCCAAGTTGTAGCCCTAATCCGTTATGAGGGTTTTAATCTCATTCTATTTTTCGAGGTTGTTAAGGCCTCTAATGTTCCAAATTGTTAAGAACATTTAACATAGTTGAAAATCTTACCACATGGGAGTACACAATCCCTCTGTTATGTGCAGCTTACCCCTTGGATTTCTTCTTCTTTTTCCTCTGCTTGAGTGGCTTGGGAGAGCTAGAACTGAAATCCTTAGGTAATGAAAAAGTGGATGAAGTCAATGACCAATTTGTCATTACTGCTGAAATCCTTAGATTCAGAGCCTGACGTTTCCTTTTCAGAGTTAGAGAGCAGTGATAATTTATTGTGATCATGAGAACTTTTTGGGTCTGGAGCTTTAAATGTGGCTTCATATATGGAGAGTTGTCCCAGTGGAGTGAAGTCAATGACCAATTTGTTATTACTGCTGAAAAATGAGTGACAACATTCTTGAGTGGTGGTAGATGAGGTGATAATTTCTGTGGAAGGCTGGTAGGGGAAGTGAGGTATTGGTTTCACATGGGAATGGTTAGAGAAGGGCATGATTTTCCAATCTATGGACGGGGATGATGGTGAATTATGAGGATGGGAGGAAGGGCATGACTACATGTTATGACCAAAGTAGTGACATGATGTGCATATAGGAGGGCAATATTGAAGATCTGCTATCAATCTCAATACAAAGCCGAGCAAATATGGTTTTAGTTCTGTCTTCTATAAAAGCATTTGCAAAAAGTGGTTTGCCAATGGCACTGGCAACAAAACTGAGCCCAGGTCCAGTCCTGTAATGAAGGGGGATGCCAAAAAATCTCACCCAGATTGGGATAGAAGTAATAAGCTGATCAAACATAAAATCAGGTTCCCATCTCTTCGAGATGATAGGTTTGTTGGCAAAAAACCAAGGGCCTTAAGCTAGGATAAGATCACACATCTCTGAGGAGGAAAAATGAAACTCAAAATAACCTTTCATTGAACTTGTGACTTTGGGAAGACTACACGCATCGAAAGGAACTACATACAAAGATAAAGAAGAATCTACATTATTATAGCAGAGAAGAATCAGCTTTTATGGCCTCATAAGAACTTCTACTTATGCAATATAACAAACTCATGCGGTGATAATACAAGTCTAGTTTACAGAACGAATTCCACTTACGCAATATTTAATGTCAAAAACTAAGCTGAGACATTCGATCTAGACAAATTATGGGATCCACAAGATATGCTCGGAAGCCTTCTAGCCATCTTCTAGCCATTTTAGAACTAACAAATTAGCCAATTAGGCCCTTTCATATTTAGATTGTTTTGATTTTAGGTGGTCCCTCTAGTTTTGTGATTGGCATTATTTTTAATTCTTTTGTGTTTTTTTAGAAGTTTACTATTTTTAGTAGCTAATATTTTAGGATTTTATTTTATAGTTGTAATGCTTAGGAGTATAATTCATGTCATTTTATTTTATAATTATAATGTACTTCTCCAATATTTTGTTCCTAGTGTTTGGATATTCATTTCTTTACCTTTGGACGTTATTTCTGAAACCTTTTAGTTATAAATCCTTACCTTTGATGCAGTTAGTTAATTTATAATCTCAAAATCATATCTTGAAATGTTAAATATTATTGCACGAGTAACCAGGTTAGCTTTGATGAGACATTAGGCAAGCACCTCAAGAGACCTAACATTTAAACTACAGCAGTATAATCCTACACTAAACAAGCTAGAATAGAGTTCAACTATACAATTGGACACAACAAAAATCATTAGGTACGTGAATAGTCCGCTTTTACGGCCTCAGAATATATAACTGCTACTTATGCAATATAACAAACTCATGCAGTGATAATACAAGTCCATTTTATAAAAGGAATTCCGCTTATGCAATATTTAATATCAAAATTAAGTTGAGACATCAAATCTAGACGAGTTGTGGAATCCATAAGGATATGCTCGGAAGCTTTGCAGCCATTTTTGAACTAGAAAATTCGGACGTTTCTCCCCTACTTATCTTCTCTTTTCTCCAATTCACTCCACTTATCTTTTTCTTTTAAAAGAAATGATTAGAATATCACTAAACCTATTAATGCATCATTCCTTATTTTATAATATCATAAATAACCTACTTTTAACCCATTTTTTTTTTTAAACTTATTTTACTAATATTTATATATTTATTTTTTTCCATTTTATGGAGGTTCTCTCAAAGAAGATAATTTATTCAATAGAAATAAGTTTTGTTTGGCAATCAAAATAATAATTTATTCAATAGTGACTCTTTTTGGATCCTATTTTGCAATAAAGTTAACTTTTTTTCAGGTATTTTATTTAATCAAAAAAGTTAACTTTTTTTTGGTAATTTATTTTCAAAAGACATAATTTATTCAATAAAAATAATCAATTTTTTTTTTTTTTTCCCTTACCAAAAGAGATAATTTATTTAACAAGTCAATAGACCAGTCTCCCTAACATTTGTAGCATGACTCAGACCATTCCCACTCCCATATCAGCTACCTTGGCTTCCACTGGAATCCCTGAATCATGACTTATTCTATGACCCTTAGCTAAGACAGCCATAGAGAGGTATTTTGACCTTAATTAGTTTATAATATGCTTGAATTTTAGTTTAAGAGCATCTCCAACACCAAAAATTCTTACCTAGCTCTAAGAAGATAGGTATGTATCCATTTGCACCATATGGAGCAACCTTCTGATCAAAGTTTGATTAATGGCAGCAACGATTCTTAGGAAGAATAAACAGAGAGGACCTGTCATTTGGATACTCAATCAGTAAAGTGTTTCCTAAATTTAGGCTCTGGATTTCAATAGGATGACTCAACAATCCTATACAATTAACCACCTTTTATATTTACTTTCATTAACAAAAACAACTAAACAATATCAAATGCATATATAAAAATACTATGTATTCCAAGATTTATAAAAAACACTACAAATGGTTTTATTGCCTTCAAATTAATAACTAATAAATTGGTTGGAGTACGTCAAAGTGAAATTATAATATATATATATATATATATATATATATATATATATATATATATATATATATATGCCAGAATCAATATCTATCTAGTACATTAATGTAAGTAGTCTATGGTACTTTTTATGGAGAAACCATGCTCTCCAGGTAAATCTCTGCTTCAATGTTTGTAGTAGGGTTATAGTTCGCTCGATACCTGCTGAATGAATCTTTTTCTACATTGTACCCAACCAACCACCTTTTGTCAACTAAAAATAGATCTTCTTTAGCACTGTTTGAGAAATTCAGTGACTTTATGCTATCAAATCCTATGGTAGACCAAACATTAGTCCAAGACTCTCTCTTCCCATATTCCGTCATCACCCAAAACTCTCTGGAAAACATAAGATCTTGATCCTGAATTATGAAACTAATACAAAGACATCCTCTGAGAACTCCACACGTTAATTTATTAGATAGCGGATCTATTTGAAGATCAGCTGGTAAAGGCATGTATTGAAATTTCTCCTCAACTAAATCAAAACAAGTGATATTGCTCCAATGTGGTCTTAACCAATGAATAACTCCATGTAGAAGTATACCTGAACCCTCAAAAGGCAAAACCTCAAGAGTTCGGTCTTGAATCCTTCTCCAAGAATTTGTTTTTAGTGTATATACACTCGTTATACTCTCGAAATCAGAGACTCCATTGAGGGACGACGAGATTGCCACCACTTTGTAATCATCAATAGACGCAACATAACCAAATCCATAGGAGACTGTAATTTGGTCAATTAGCGAGGGCAAAACTGGTAATCTATTGAATTTTTCAGTTGTAGGATTCAGCAAGTAAAGCCTATTGGAAGCACCCGCACCACCAGTTGCATATAATACCAAGCCATAACTGGAACCTAAGAAGTTGACTTCTATGCCCCTGATTTTAGAATTAATATTGTGAATGGGTTTTGGATCATGATTCTCACATATAACCGAAAAAAAATTGTCAAACTCACATGAAACAATGAGTTTGTGGTTTTGGGATTGACTGAGATGTTTCTTCACAAAGTCAGGGTCGGTGAACAAAGTGAGCCATGACTTACAGACACACTTGAATCGTAAGATAGACTTGACGGGTAACCATGAGAGTATGTTGAATATGAGATCACAGGGAAGGAATGGTAATGGTGGCGCCGACTCATCTCTTTTCTCTCTCTTCATAGCTATCTCAACCCTAACAGGCTAACACATATACTATACTAATATATGTGTGGGTTATTGTTTGTACAATCGGTACTACGCAAATCTCGCTGTTAAAATTTTGAGACTGTTTCTGGAAAA